CCATACATTTTAGAAGTATATCCTCCACTCTATTATTGAAGTCATTAATAAAAATATCGAATAGTATCAGAGCCAGGACTGAGCCTTGCAGGACTTCACTAGGTTCATGCTCCCAGTTCGAGAGTGAACTACTGATTACGACTCTTGGAGCACACTCTTTCAACCAGTTTTGCACCAGCGAAACATCCTTGCACTGGCCCTGACCTTAAGAAAGGTGTCAATCCCTCTTCAAAGCAATTGAAAATGTTTGCTTTGGGTAATGCTGTATGCCCAGTGCCACTGATATTAATAATTCAGCGGGCTACAATGCCTTCTATTGCCTGATTAGGGCTCAGCTAAGGCTACCTTTCAGTTGTTACATGGACTGTTGGCTCCAGGAAAGGAGAGCTTGTGGAAATATTATCTGAATCGGTACCAGCAGGATATCATAGCATCATAGACAGATAGGGCTAGAAGAGACCTTGAGAAGTCATCAAGTCCAGCCCCCTATGCTGAGGCAAGACCAAGTAAACCTCCTTGACCATCCCTTACAGGTGTTTGTCTACCCCAGTGGTTCTCAACCTATTTACAATTGTGGGCCGCATATGCAGTCCACAACATGTTATGGGCTGTTCAAAAACCCAGTGATACGGCTTCCACAACCTCCCTTGGAAGCCTATTCCAATGCTCAACTATCTTTATAATTAGAAAGTTTTCCCTAATATCTAACCTAAATCTCCCTAACCTTGCTGCAGATTAAGCCCATTACTTCTTGTCCTACTGTCAGTGGACATAAAGAACAGTTGATCACTGTCCTCTGAATGACAGCCCTTACTGTATTTGAAGACTTATTAGATCCCCCCTCAGGCTTCTTTTCTCACGACTAAATAGGCCCTTCCTCATAGGACAGGTTTTGTAAACCTTTTATCATTTTTGTTGCTCTCCAGTTCATCTACATCTTTCCCAAAGTATGGTGCCCAGAACTGGACACAGTAATACAGCTGAGACCTCACCAGTGTTGAGTACAGTGGGACAATTACCTCTCATATCTTGCATACATCACTCCTGTTAATATACCTGTGACAGTTTACATTACTATGGTCACCACTTTTAAAAAATTATGATAAACCTTGTACAAAACATGCCTTCTGACCATCATTTTCCTGTTAAAATGTGTGTATCAACATTGTATATGGTGATATTAGATTTTGCTATATGTTTATAACTGGAGCATGTTGTAATTCTGGGGAACACCCACAGTTTAGCTCTTTAGAGACAACATGGGGTGGCCAACACCCAGCCAGGTGCTAAGAGCACTGTCTGCTTAACCGGTCATTCATCAGCAGGGGAGTTGTAAACAAGAAATGTACAGTTCACCTGAAGGACAGCTAGCAGGTCATGTATGCTATGGAACTGCCTGACCACATAACCCAGCAAGGACTTTTCCAGTAAAAAATGTCAGGATACAAAAACGGGGAACAAAGGCCTCTGGCCTTTCTCTTCCCCCATCTCTACGGCAACAAGAATGCTTGGAAGACTTTGAACTGGGGAGATTGGTTCCAGGCAGGGAACCCAATCCAGCCTATGTACTAACAACCATGAACTGCTTGCAACATCCAAAGTGGTGAAAAAAGCAGTTTGCTTAAAATTTTTCTTAGCTTGGTAAAGGTTTAGGAATAAGACTGTGTAGTTAACTTTTATTTCTTTTGTTACCAATTCTGACTTTTTATAGCTGCATCACTTATCCGCACTTAAAATCTAGCTATGTTGCTTCAGTTAATAAACTTGTTTTATTCTTTTATCTAAACCAGTGTGTTTTGATTGAAGTGATTGGGGAATCTCTGCTCAGTTTAAAAAGGGCTGGGGCATATTCATTTTCTTTGATAACATGACAGACTTATGAGGGCTTGCCCTGTCCAAAGGGCAGTGTAAGCAGCACATTTCTGGTGTGCAAGGCTGGGGCTGAGGGATATGCATGTGTTGCCGTGTATCTGTTCATGATTGGCTGAGAAAGCATTCATGTAACTTTCCATGTGCCTTTACATGCTGATGGCTGTGTGGGAGCAAAGCCCGGGGAGGCTGCTTTTCACTCGCAAAGCAATGTGAGAGACACCCTGGTCTGGAGAACTAAGAGGACACCATGGTTCAAAAGTCCAGTTTGTATCCTGGGGAGGTCACAATACCCCAGAATGATTTAGCATTTTTTGTAGCTGCATCACATTGTTGACTGATATTCAATTTGTGATCCACTATAACCCCCAGATCTTCTTCTGCAGTACTACTGCCTAGCCAGTTATTCCCAATTTTGTAGTTTTGCATTTGATTTTTCCTTCTCAAGTGTAATACTTTGCACTTGTCTTTGTTGAATTTCATCTTGTTTATTTCAGACCAAGCTCATTTTGAATTCTAAACATGGCCTCCAAAGTGCTTTCAACCCCTCCCAGCTTGACATCATCCATACATTTTAGAAGTATATTCTCCACTCTATTATTGAAGTCATTAATAAAAATATCGAATAGTATCAGAGCCAGGACTGAGCCTTGCAGGACTTCACTAGGTTCATGCTCCCAGTTCGAGAGTGAACTACTGATTACGACTCTTGGAGCACACTCTTTCAACCAGTTTTGCACCAATAGTATAGTAATTTAATCTAAACCATATTTCTCTAGTTCGCTTATGGGAATGTCATGGGGGACTGTGTCTAAAGCATTATTAAAATCAAGATATATCACATTTACAGCTTCCCCCATCCACTAGGCTAGTAAATCTGTCAAAGGGGGAAATTAGGTTGATTTAGCATAATTTATACTTGACAAATCCATGTTGGCTATTACTAACAACCCTATTATCCTCTAGCTGCTTACAAACTGATTGTTTAATAATTTGTTCCAGTATCTTTCCAGGTATTGAAGTTAGACAGCTGGTCTATAATTCCCCAGGTAACCATTATTTCCCTCTTTTAAAGATAGGTACTATGTTTGCCCTTCTCCAGTCTCACCCATCATCAAGGAGTTTTCAAAAGATGACCTCTAATGGGTCCAAGATTGCTTTAGCTAGTTCCTAAACTACCCTAGGGTGAATTTCATCAAGCCCTTCAATACATCTACCATATCTAAATATTCTTGAACCTGTTCTTTCCTTATTTTGGCTTGCGTTTCTTCCCCCTTGTTGTTAATATTAATTGTGTTACTTACACGGCCACAGTTTACCTTCATGTCATGAAATCATAGGGTAGCATTTCTTGTTGAAACAAATTATTGAAGCAATTTACTATGTGTTTGTACAGTGCTAACACAACAAGGCTCTAATCGTAACTGCGCTTTTGGGCATGGCAATGCAAATAATGATCAAAATTATGTATAGTCTTCAATAGATTTCTCTGTCCTGGAGAGTTTGAAAAAGGAACATGTTTAAATCAACTTTCACCAATTTTCCTAATCCCTGTTTTCTAGACATATTTTAATAAAATCCACAAAAACCAATAGGCTAAGTACTACCACTAATAATACTCTTCATTTACATATAATGCCTGAGGATTCCAACATGATTCACAAACTGCATACATACAGCTAAATTGAAGTGTGGCCACCTCTGGGGTGAAACATTGAAGTGAAGTGCTTGAATTAATGATACAGCCTGTATTTAATGGAAGTGCTATCATTAAACTTTCCAGAAAACTAAAATGTCATGTACTGCATTGAACGCTTAGGGGAGACTAAGTTAGCTATAATAGAACTTTCTACTATATGAAGAAGATTGTATAATTGACAAAAACCTTTTTGCCTAAAAAGGTAACAAGACACAATGAGTTAGAAAGAATGGAATACTCTACGTTACCTGAACTGCAGTTCTTCATTGCAAAGGAGTCCATGGCAGCTACACTCCTGTTCCCACTAGCAACATATTCCAGTGAGATCCGAAAAGGTTTCTTAAGGTGTCCAACTCTCTTCTGCAGAAGCACCCATCTGGTCTCGTCACAAAGCAAAAGGAAACAACACAGGACAAGAGTGGTAAGAAAGGAGGCTATTTTACAAGGCACACATGTCCAAACATAGCAGCTCCCATGGCTTATCATACTGTCCCCCTATGATGCCCCACCAGTGGCCTTTGCTTTCTTAGACTGCAAAAATAAACCTCTAAGAATTTTTTTTCCCAAAGAATGGAGATGTCATGACAAATGAATAACATCAGCTAATGATGGGTTCTCTCTCTCATCTGCCACACTTCTCAGCTCTGAGATCTCTTGCAGATGTCTTGCGGCTGTTTAAAAGGAGCCCAACGTCCTTTGCAAAGTGAGCTGTGAAATCTGTCACACACATGCACGCCTTCTCTAAATATCACTCCTTCCTGCCTTCCACCAACAAAGTCTGTTATACAGATTCAGGCAATAAGTTATCCTCGGGGGGTGGGGGTGGAGAGGGAAAGGGGGTTGCTGAATAGCTGTATTTCCCAGACTTTATATCTGTTTGATGTAATGCATTTTGCTTCTATGTGGCTGGTTGGAACTCCAAATGCGTATGAGTTTTTAAAATTAAAATGGCCCATTTCCCTGTCTGTACTGTTCCCTTAGTTTGTACTTTTTTTTCTTTTAACTTGACTATGGCCCTGGAGACTAAGGGCCAAATTCAGAAATGATGTGTAAGGCAATGTAAGTTACATGTTGCTAACCAAGTGTAAGTGGGAACAATGGAGTCTGAGTCTATCCTGGCATAATGTATTCACTGAGAGGTTGGAAGAAAATTAAAGACCAGCCCCTTACATGCAAACCTCTCACCCTCCGACTTCTTGTTTTTGCTGCTGCACCCCACTTTCCCAGCCACTCAGCATCAAAGTTACATGTACTTAGATACCGTGGCACTTCCTTAACATGCAATTTTCAGCATCTTAACACATCACCCCTATATTTGGCCCTGACATTGTATGTCTACAGAACAGGTATAAACACAAGCCACAACGATGTGAGTCTCCCTCCTCCCCACAAACATGCCACAATCCTGACCTACAGGAAATACAGATTTATATTTAGGAACAAAAGGACATGAATGGACAATTCACACTCTGTGGCTCATTCCACCCTTGGTCACTGTTTAGAGCAGGGGCGGGCAAACTTTTTGGCCTGAGGGCCACATCTGGGTATGGAAATTGTATGGTGGGCCATGAATGCTCATGGAATTGGGGTTGGGGTGTGGGAGGGGGTGAGGGCTCTGGCTGGGGATGGGTAGGGCCAGAAATGAGGAGTTCAGGGTGTGGGAGGGAGCTCCGGACTGGGGCAGGAGGGTGAGGGCTCCGGCTGGGGTTGCGGGCTCTGGGGTGGGGCTGAGAGGTTCGGAGTATAGGAGGGTGCTCTGGGCTGGGACCGAGGAATTCGGAGGGTGGGAGGGGGATGGGGGTTGGAGCATGGACCGGGGGGAGGGGGTGGCTCAGGGGTGCAGGCTCCGGGCAACGCTTACCTCAAGTGGCTCCCAGTAGCAGCAGCAGCAGCAGGTCCCCCGTCAGGCTCCTACATGGAGGCGCGGCCAGGCAGCTCTGCTGCATGCTGCCCCATCCACAGGCGCTGCTCCTGCAGCTCCCATTGGCCGCGGTTCCCGGCCAATGGGAGCTGTGGGGGCAGCACTTGGAGTGGGGGCAGTGTGCAGAGTGGAGCCCCCTGACTGCCCCTACGCATAGGAGCTGGGGGGGGGGGAACATACTGGTGCTTTCGGGAGCTGCATAGAGCAGCCCCCGATCCTGCTTCCTGGCTGGAGCACTGGAGCGGGCCAAGCTCCAGACCCCACTCGAGGGCTGGATTAAAATGGCTGGTGGGCCAGATGCAGCCCACGGGCCGTAGTTTGCCCACCCCTAGTGTAGAGGTTGCCAATAAAGATACCAATTAGTGACAGTTGTAAAGGGATGTTTTGTGATAGGAATATTCATACTCTAGGAGCTAGATTGGACCCACCAACTCATTTCACATGAGTCTGTTCAGTACCCTGGATGATGGAAACGTTTGCTCACTACCCATTTGGCCATATTCAAACCATTAATACAGCTGAGAAACTCTATAGCCCTGTTGTATAGGCCTTTCCCCTATTCTTTACATTTCCTTTCACAGATTCTTCCAGGATATCGAAACAAAAAAATGGGTAAAAGCATATAAGATTTCCTTTTAAGCTTATTGTAATTGGTCATCTGGGAACAAACAGAACAGGTGTTCCATAAGGCCTGTTAGAAAATTCCCAATACACTGCAGCTGCAATTGTTTAAAAAAAAATATTGTGCTTCCTTAGGACACTTTGAAACAGCAATATTAGGCATTTTTGAGGAACATTATAACTATTTCAGATTAACTTAATGGGGTCAGTGGCAAGAAAGTTTAGAAGCAGTTGCTCTTTTATAATTGACTCTTGAAACAGAAGTTTCCTTAATTGCTCCACTTCATGTTGGTTTGTTATTATGGTGTTGTCAAGTGGGCTGGACACAGGAATTTATCTATCTTTAGTAAAAAGAGCATTGGAGCAGATGTTTTTGAGAAAAAAACCTACACAATTTACATGGATTCTGCAATCAGATAAGAACTTGCCCAAATTTTGACGTACTTTTTAAGAGACATTACCAGCTTAACAGCATCCCAAAAAGGAAATAAAATCATCTCTCTCTCTTTGTCACAGTATTTATTTTAATGAACTCATAATAATACATGTGTGCACCACTGCCCCATGCTGTGTCGAATCAGAACTGATTAACTGTGTATCACCGGTCCTACATTGTTAATAACTAAAATAAATTCTCCTTTAGTTCCAATAGTTATAGCCAGTGCTTTTGGAGGAAGAAGATACGAGTTCTATCCCCCACTGTCACTATAAGGGTCCAAATGGCCATGAAATGCTGCACAATGACAACTGCAAAGTTCTTAGGAGGTCTTGGGTCTGCTAGAATATCTTAAATTCTTTACCCATCTACCTACTAACACCACTTTAGATTATTGAATGCTCTGATTTTTTTTAAATAAGAAAAATCTATTTTTAAGCATTTATGCCATTTGATTCCTTTTTTGCTCTTCTTCTCAGCATGAATGGTGACACTAGACTGCTCAGTATCATTTCTTGTTTATGGTCAGTTTCACTTTCTGATTCTCATGTGCCAGCCCAATAGTTTTATTTTGAAGCTTCCACTACCAGGAGACATTCAGAGGCACCGACTCCATGGGTGCTCCGGGGCGGGAACACCCCCGGGGGAAAATTGGTGGGTGCTCTGCACCCACCGGTAGCTCCCCGCCCCAGCTCACCTCAGCCTCCTCCCCTGAGTGTGCCACCGTGTCCTGCTTCTCCCCCCTCCCTCCCAGCACTTGCGCCACAAAACAGTTGTTGGGAGGAGGAGGAACATGGTGCACTCGGGGAAGAGGCGGGCCCGGAGCGGGGTCGGGGCGGGGCTGGGAAAGTTGGCGCCTGTGGTGACATTTACATCAAACTAATCTTCATTTATTCCCCTGCTTCTGGAATGTAGAGTACACACTTCAGATCAGCCATTTCCAGAGAGCCCAGTCTCCTGCCAGCATTGCATCCTGATCTATATTAAGGCCAAGGGGGGCAAAGTTGGAAGCCATGACATCCCTCCAGCATGTGCAAGGCTGTGTGCAAGTTTTCTCCATCCAGCTTTTGTTGGATCAAACATAAAGCTGGAGAATTTGTATGGATCCCAACATATGGAGCAGATGGCCAAGCTACCTGACCCAACACCATCACTTTGGGAGACGCTGGAGGCTGGTTGGTCTGATGCCTGACCTCCTCATTTATAATGTGATGAAGCCACCATATGCCTTCAATGCATCATTACTGCTTCATGTTGAAAGTGCCCAGCTGGTGCATTTGCATCCCTATGGCGGCCCAGAGCCATACAAAAGGACAAAAGCCACTGATGCTTGATAGATACACATTTTAGTCTGAGTTGATATGTGGTGTTGACACTACATAGGCTCCCAAAAGCGTGTATAACACCCATAGCCTTGCTGATTTGATGCTTCGTGTTAGCAAGGCAACTTCCCTCCTTGGTGTAAACAGAGCCAAGATGTTCAAATGAATTGATGAATTCAACTTCTTGTCCATCGATTATGATGGGTAGGAGTAGAGGTCCATCAGCCACCTTCATCAGGTTGGTCTTCTTCCAGTTGACTTGACAACCAAGCTTACTTGCTTTTTCCATATATAAATTATGGGCATTGATGAAATTAGTTCATGAGGATGAGAATATAGCCATGTAATTCTCATATTCCAGGCCTATTATGTAGAAGTCATGCTATTATGTAGCGGGGTGGACATCCACTCCTGCCCTGAGGGGTTTGCAACAGCCCTGGGAGAAGGCTGGGGCAGGGAAGGCTAACCTGATTCGGGGGAAGTGGCTGCAGCTGGGGCCACGCCCCAAACAGACTCAGCTGGCCCTATAAAGGCAGGGAGCCAGGAGCTCAGACAGAGTCTCTCTCTGCACTCAGAGAGAGAAGGGCCTGGCTGCAGGGAGCTAAGACAGAGTACCTGGGTGGAGCAGGGCTGGGGAAAGGCTGAGGAGCTGGGGAGCTCCAGCCTGGAAAGCCCCAGGCTGCGGCCTAGCATTAGGCTAAGGGGTACTGGGGGTTGCAGAGGGCAACCCAGGTGTAGGCCAAGGCAGCAGGTCCAAACCCTCCTTGCCTGTGATGAGTGGCTGACACTGCAGTCTGCCCCAGGGAGTGGGGCTAGATGGTGACTGGCAGTAGCCTTATTCGGAGGTGAGGTGGGGTTAGTGGGTAGGGGTTCCCCTAGGAGGGGAGACCCAGTATGTGTGTGGGTACTGCCAGGGGGCAATACCCAGAGCAAGGGGCACCTGGGTCCTGGGAGGGACACAGGGCCCAGTAGAAGTGACAAGGCAGATCACCGGCCTGCAGAGGGCGCTCCGGAGGCTGGGTCGAGCTAATTCCCCGAGAGACCAGCAGGAGGTGCCGCAGGGGTGAGTCCGACCC